GAGGGAGTTGGGGTGGTGGGGAGGCTGAGGGTGGAGGTGAGGCTGGTGGGGGAGTGGGGAGGCTGAGAGTGGTGGGGGGTGGTGAGGCTGAGGGTGGTGAGGTGAGGCTGAGGGTGGTGGGGGGTGGTGAGGCTGAGGGTGGTGAGGCTGAGCGTGGTGTGGGGGGTGAGGCTGAGAATATACCCCACTGTATTCTAAGCACAGCTAAGTTGGGCATTAAAATAAACCCATACATTTAGAAGATATTCGGTGGAAAGTCTTAATAATGAACATTTAAGATAATTCAACATGTGCATAAAAGTAAAGGAAACAAACCCCAAAACAAGAAATATTAAATTTTAACTTTTACTCCAGTGTTATAAATGAATGATATGTCCCGTCCAATCTAATCTTTCTTATAGACGCATTTTACTATGTATAACATACTAATTAGTGTTACTCTATAACTCTTCTCATAGACAGGTCGGACGTGTGGCAATTGCCGCACTATGCCAGCAATATTTCCGTAAGAGTCATTGCTTTGCACTTTATGCTGGAACACAAACCAGTCAGAAAGAGCTCCCCACCATGTTGTCTGACACCGGGGAGGGTGCACCTTGGCACCTGCATAACAGGGCTGATATCTCTTAAAACTGTCACTTTTATAACCTAAGAGACAGCCACTGTTATCTGTTAGAGTGTTCTTTTAGGTCACAAATTAATTTGTATTCATTCATTGTAAAACATGTTGTCATGGTTTTAATAAAACTAAAATGGTGCGGGTGATACAAACATGTTATTATAGAACTGGTGTTGTCGTGCTCTGTAATAAACTGGGAAGACTCACAAACTGTTTAGCGCGGTTTGGTGACCTGTACTCTGTGGCTCACCTGGGAGTGGTGGTGATATGAAGGTTAAAGTCAAATATGCACTAAAGTACATAAGTTTTTAACCAAATACTGTTGACTTATTCACTAGTTGGAGAAACGTAAACAAAATTGGTAATTTTATTTCTAAGACACTCTTGAAGGATCTGAATTATGTGCTAAACACATTCCTTTAATGAACAGAAAACAAATATTGGTCAAAGAATGGATGAAATTTTATTTTTTTTGGTATTTATCGGACACCAAATAAAAACATTTTATAAAAGATATTTCAGGTAAACGTATTAAACGGTGACTTCATTCAAAACACAATGTGGGCGTCAGGTCAGGCCCCTAAAGATGAGCCCCCTAATGAGGGGTAAAGGTTTAGAAATGGTGAGAAAAAAAATCATTTAGTAGGACAATAGCAAATATCAACTAACTCTTCCTATAAGCATATTCCACCAATATGACTTCCACCAATGACCTGGGCAAGATGGAGAGATGCCTGCGATTTCTAATCTTAAAGGAAAACATCTGCCTCCATTAGAATTGACCATCTCAGCCAATCCAATTCTTCCCCATGGAAAAGCATTGGATTGGCTGAGATCGTTAATTCTGATGATCTCAGCCAAGGAGGTGGGGCGGGGCATAGCCAAACACAGCCCTGGCCAATAAGCATCTCCTTTTAGAGATGTATCTCTATGGGGAAGTTTAGCATCTCCATGCAGAGCATGGAGGCACTGAATGTCAGTTATACTGTGCAGTACTGACCCAGGAAGCACCTCTAGTGGCCATCTGAGTTATTGCCACTGGAGGTGTCCCTAGGGAGCAATATAAACACTGCTTTTTCACTGAAAAGGCAGTGTTTACATTAAAAAGTAATCAGGGACTGACGATACATTAAGCTGTAGTTGTTCTGGTGTCTATAGTGTACGTTTAACGAAATTCCTACTAAGAATTGTAGTATTCATTTTACTTTGTAAAAGGTTTAGCAAATCTGTACATTTGGTTACAGTCAAATTATTGTCTCTGATACCAGGATCATTACACCAGATTTATGGTAGAAAATACATGTTATATATATATTATTCTCCAGAGATAGACATTCCAGGTACACAGAAAAACAGAATTAGTTATCATAAATAGTCGTTATGTTACAGCTGCTTCACAAGTTGCCATTTGCCTAATTTTCAAGATGTCCTTATGAATTCTGAGCAATTCGAACTGAGCACAGACATACATAAACTCAAATCTTAAACAAAATCAAAATGCCTCGATTTAATATTATTTGGATAAGCTTTTCAAATGATTTAATATTTTGAAAACATACTTTAATATTTTGATATTATTTATATATATATATTACATATTATTACATATTTTAATATTTTGAAAAAATCTATTTAAAAGTCCATCCAAACATATTAAATCATTCGAAGCCTGAATTTGCTCAAACTGAGTTTATCGAATAACCTTGTGTGTTCCTGTCACCTGTCATTTTATAGATTAGTTAGTGTTGCAGAGGGGCAATACTATCACAACTACCCACATCTTCCAATGAACCCAGATCTGTGACTATTTTCTGTTTACTCTGGTATCTAGGATACCATGTCAGAAAAACCGTCCGTGGCCGTTAGCCTGTAGAAACTGCCAGAAATATCCTTTGGTGTCTGCATTACTCTTAAACCATGCAGTATGTATCAATCTCCTTCTTATTTAACCCACGGATTGTCAGAGAGAGGGAGGACCACTCAGAAACACGACTGTGAGAGAATAGATTTATTTTAAATTAGAATTGCCCAGTCAGTGTGCCTGCAATGGGTACGTTCCTAAAGGTAGTGAATTGTGAGTGTCTTTTCTCAATATTAATTTTTAAAGATTTATTCGAAGGACATATGAACCAATTTGTTACAATGAACTGCCTACACAATCTGTCGTAATGTAATGTGTCTGTTCTGCACCGAAAGGAGGAAAGCAATGTGTTGACACTATAATTATCTCCAAACGTTAGATGCAGACATTTAGCCAAGTCTTGGTTTACTACATCCAATCGCTTGATAGATGAACGCATGCAGCGTCACTCTAAGATCTGGATTCTACCACTGCAGGGAGCTGACACAGCAGGGCTGGGAGTGCACAGACACTTTACATTATGCGAGCTGAGCACTGAGCTGCGGGTTACTGAGAGGGGAACTGCAAGACCTTGATTTTAGAAATGCTTATGCTGGTGGGGAGGGGGGTGTAATGAATATTGACATTAGCTAGATCATTTGAGTCTTTGACCAGACTGTACTTGCTTACAGGGATGTCACGATGCCACTGCACAGTTGGTGCCTCCATTGAACGGTGGAAAAATAAAAATCAGGCAAGATGGATGCGAAAGAGGACGGGTCTGTAAAGGGTTAAACGCAGGCAGGAAGCTTGTTCCACACTACAGACTTGCTGGAATTGTGGCGTAAGAGGATGCTCGTCTTTTTCCTATGCAATTCCTGAGCGTTGGTGAGAGATTAAAACCCTTCTCTTGGACCCTGACAAAGAGACATTCATTCATCCTTTGTTCGACCCGTCTTCGCACAGCCGACATGTGCAGTAATCAGGTCAGCTTGCTGGACGAGCAGTGCAAGTTTTACGCCTACATGTTCTACCAGGCTGTGCGGGATCAGGAGCCTGTGTGGAAGCTGGAGGAAATGAGGACTATGGAATATTTTCATTGGGAGGAAGATGCCAGCCTGCGTTGCTATTCACCATCCGATGCTCTTATGTATGCCGTAGTTCATAACCACCTACGTTATGCCCAGTATTTGCTATCTCACTTCCCAGAGGAATCCCTCAAGGTGCCAGGGATTAAATTCTGCTGCTGTCCTCCTTCTGCACCCCACCTTGCCCTGGCCGTTACCTATGACAGGAGGGATATTTTAATATTGATTATTAAGATCGCACATAAACTACCTAGCCTTCAGTCCTACATTAACAGGGCGAGTTGTTCCCATCTGTCAGACGGGAAAACCCCTTTGCACATGGCATGCGAGCTCCTGAGTGCAGAGACTGTCCTAATCCTTCTAGGCAATGGGGCATGTCCGAAGATCCTCGACCGTAAAGGAGAGACTCCCCTAGATATCATCTTGGAGCAGCTATGGAGCTCAAAGGTCAACGTAGTCTCCAAAAAGCTGTGCCTGGATTACCTTCTCCTGTTCTCACCTTCTCTTAATTTCAAGATGAGAAAAATTCTGCAGGAGAACCCAGACTTTTGGGCTCCCTTGTTGGGAGAGGACAAATTGAACTATCTGGTGGGGAAAAAGCCAGCCACATTGTATCTAATAGCTATGCAAACAATTCTGCGGTGTCTCCAGCCTGCTCATTTTCCTCAGAACATTAAAGCACTGCCCATACCTCATGCTTTAAAACCACTGCCAGTCTCACATTAACAGCCATCCGTATAGAGACTGGGCGTATGGTCAATTACAAGCTCGGGGGTTAAACTGATCTCTTCTCTGTTACTGCTGATAACAAAAAAAGAATTATACTCATTTATATCATTTCATTGATTTTGCTTGAGCAGAAGGTCATTTTCACCAAATATGATGGCCAGCCTTTGCAGACACGTTATTGATTGATGGTAAGGATGGGCTCATGGAGTACTAAGAGTAATTGGTAGATGGAGGGCTGTGCTTGCAAAATGCATTTTCTCCCTTCAGCAGCAATAACAGAGGTGGAGTCCACAGGGGAATATTGGAAAATGGAAGATCACTTGCTTGTCTTAAGTATGCAAGGGGGGGAGATGTAACGTAGACTGCACGGGGGAGAGGATATTCATTGGTCGAGGAGGATTTTCTACAAAAAGATTTGTTAAAGGGTGAAATAATTGATCAGACTGCATCAAAGGAAACGTAGCAAAGAATATGTTCAAATGTGGTTGCAGTAACTCCCATCATGCAGCTGGATTAAGCTAATAGGAGTTGTATTTTAGAACAACTGATATGGTCTGATTAGGCAGTCATCTCCAAAACCATAAGGATTTCACTTTCATTTACTCAATCCTTCTAATTTGCAGAAAAAAAATTATAATAATAATATATATATACATATATAATGTGTGTGTGTGTGTATATATATATATATAGAGAGAGAGAGATTATATTCTATACATATATAAAAAGACAGATTCACTGACAGCCATGTACAGTATTAAGAAAATCTGTAATATATATAATCTATGGAAAGAGAAAAATTATAAAACATTATTTTATTACAAAAAAAAAAAAAATACTAATAAGAGGGTAATAAATGTGCAGTTGTTTATGCTACAAATCTGCATAATGCTCGGTGCCCTCTCTAAGAGCATGTATGGGTTAACACGTTGTCTGTATAAAAAGACAAGTGGAAGTACTGTGCGTGGGCGTGTGTGTGAGAAAATGTAAGGGGATTATTTACTAAACAGTGAGCCGTAATAAAATTACTAACGACTTAGTATAATGATACATTTATTATAATTTACACAATTATACAAGTTGCATTTTAAATCTCAGCCATATCCCCTCCATACTGAGATTTAGCCAGAAAACTGAGAATTGTGACTCCATGAGGTTATTGCATTTTTTAAGTAAAATAGTCAAAGTGGACATGATACCTCCCAACATTTCAAATGGGCAAAGAGGGACACTTTAATTTTAGGGGTGTGGTCAGGGCGGGGCTGTCCTGAGAAATTTTAGGTGACTTACTAATAACCATTTAAACAACTAAAATTTAACTCAGAACAATGTATCTTATTTACACAGACTGATTTCTTAACACATTTATTGTAGTTTAAAGACACATTACTGGGAGTATTATTGCTGTGGAGCTCTGTTATACACTCAGACACATTACTGGGGGTATTATTGCTGTGGAGCTCTGTTATACACTCAGACACATTACTGGGAGTATTATTGCTGTGGAGCTCTGTTATACACTCAGACACATTACTGGGGGTATTATTGCTGTGGAGCTCTGTTATACACTCAGTCATATTACTGGGAGTATTATTGCTGTGGAGCTCTGTTATACACTCAGACACATTACTGGGAGTATTATTGCTGTGGAGCTCTGTTATACACTCAGACACATTACTGGGAGTATTATTGCTGTGGAGCTCTGTTATACACTCAGACACATTACTGGGAGTATTATTGCTGTGGAGCACTGTTATACACTCAGACACCAACAATATGGACTTCCTATTAAAGGGACTTTTTTTTTATTTTGACCTTCAATTTTCAATTTCTTGTCCCTAATTAGCATTTTAGAGGATAAACGCCATTGTCGGCTACATTGACCACTTTGCAAGCTAATTTAGTGATATCATGACTCACTGTTTAGTGAATGTCCCCTAGATGAGAGTTGAGTTTGTGTCGTATGGAATGGCATGGGGTCCCTTGAGATTGCCTGCTGCTATATGTCTTGCACAGAATGGTATATTAAGCTTTTCCCATATTTACCATTGACCTACTTTCTATAACCAACATAGCGCATGATACATGGTGGAGAATAAACAGAACAATGTATCGGTGATTTCTGGTATTAATCCAGCCCAGGGATTTAACAGAATGGGGCTGCATTTATAATAAAAGTAAAGCTTTAGACAGAGTCTTTGCACCTGATTACCATTTACACCCCACAAATGAGCACATGGTAGTGACTACCTGGAAATTGGACAATAAACTGCAAAATTCCAGGCCAGACTAGACGATCAGGAATAATATTCCAATTTAGGCTATTTTGGTCTACAGTGTGCAATTCTCCACAATTCCCAGTTCGGTGTATTAACTAATTTATGGAGATTTTATAAGGCAAACTAAGTTAGAAAATTCTATTGCAGGGTGAGCCAGTGGTTTTCTACAGACATTGATTATTAGGTTTACATCGGGAGCCTCTTTGGTAGTAATGTCGATTCTTGGTATCCTAAATGTTTGTGAACTACATTTAATAACACTAAGCCATCGTAAATACGGTTAAACAATGGCAGCTCTCGCCATTCTAGGGCACAAATATTTGAGTTTTGACTAAAGTAAAATCTCAAGTGAGCGGTCCGTTAAATCAATGTACATATTGAAATCTGTTTCATTGTTATTATGGGCTATGTTACTTATTCCGTGTTGTTATCATGCAAAGTGCTGTGGTCCTAAACAAGGAGCTGTTCAAATAAAATGCAATAGCATATGGCTGACAAAGGAACTCAAAGTATGCATGTTGATTATAAAACAATTACATTTCATTGGGCAAACATACGCACACGAAAATAAAATAAAAAAATATCTCATGATACATGTATTAACCCCTTCCTAGCTATAGTATCGTGGCGTTGCTGAAAGATAAAGGGTTTTATTCACTTAATAGAAAATTCTGATTCAACAGCCACTAAATTTGACCTCAATAGCCAGATGGAAAAATTCCATCATTCTGCAAATTTTCCTCCCCTTCTCCCTGGCTGAGTTTTTTTAGAATAGACAATCTCAGCCAACAGAATGTTTTTCTGTGGGAAAGCATTGTATTGGCTGAGATTGTCAATTCTGATGATCTCAGCAAAGGAGATAGGATGGGTTTGGAGCCTAACGCTGTTCTGGCCAATCAGCATCTCCTCATAGAGATGCATTGAATGAATGCATCTCCATGAGGAACGTTCAAGACCAACATGCAGAGTGTACTGACCCAAAAAGCACCGCTAGTGGCCATCTGAACGACTGCCATTGGAGGTATCCATAGGGAGCAGTGTAAATACTAAATACTAAACACTTCCTTTTCTTTGGAAAGGCAAAATGTCTGCATGGACTGACTGTACTCACCAGAACAATTACATTAAGGAGCCAACGTCAGTGCCGTACTCTCACACAGATGCATGATCTCAACACTGTGTTCTCTTGGGATTCTCCATAGAAAGTGTTTTTCCCTACAGCCCTCACTGGTGACGACTGGGGTAGAAATGAGAAACTCTAAAAAATCGTTCCTACTTTGTCTCAGTTTATCCTTAGACTAGGTTGGAATTTGAGTAAAATTTCAAAACAGTTACTGTATTTCATAAACATTCTGGCAGAGGTGCTTTAAATATTCAACATAAGAGTTCAACCAATGCCTGTTTAAATTCATAGTAAAACAAATGAATGCATTTACTAAACTGTGAGCTGTGGTATTGTGAAAACTAACATTTTCTAAACAAGCGCTATTTTCCAATTGTGTAGTCTTTCTTTCACTGCAATCTGATGTTTTGAGAATATACGCCTTAAAGGAACACTATATAGCAAGCTTCCTCAAACTCCAGAGTTTGCTGAACTACAACTCCCATGATTCTATGAATGAAATAGATAGGCTGAGAATCATGGGAGTTGTAGTTCAGGAACATCTGGAGGGCCGGAGTTTAGGGAAGTCTGCTATATAGTGTTAGGATACATGAATTTATTCCTAACGCTAAAGTGATCTGCTTGCTGTTAAGATCCTCTCACCCACCGTGTGAAGACTTGTGCACTGTTGACATTTTCAGTTTATTCACATAAATTTGGACAGAAAGTTATTTTGTCCATTAGTCAATTTGTTTCAGATGCATTACGTCCGATATTTTCATTTCAGAATTTCCATTCGGACAAATGGAGTGCCACAAATTTTCTGTGGTTTAAAAATAGATAGGTCCCTAATTTGGTGCCTGTATGTGTGATTGTCATATTTAAGGGTAGCAAATTAGGGAGGGAGCTGTGTTTAGTAGGTTGTTCCTTATTTTGGTATCCTTATATATGGTAATCCCACATGAGGATACCAAATTAAGGAGCAATTAAGTTAATAAAAGTTCAATATGAAGACATTTTTATGTCAGCTGTTTAGTAGATAGCTCCTTAATTTGGTACCAGGGCCGGACTGGCCCACCGGGATACCGGGAGATTTCCCGGTGGGCCGCGGCACATGGGGCTGGGCTGACCGCCCTATTCATCACTGGTCAGGCTCCTGTAATCCCGGCCGGCCATGTGCACAGCTCACACATGGCCGGCCGGGATTATTAAAAAAATAAAATAATAATAATATTGAGGCGGGGTGGAGCTTAGCGTGCGGTGGGGCGGAGCTTAGCAGGTGATGGGGCAGAGCTTACTGTACGGCGTGGGCCCTGCTTCCCCAACAACCAGTCTCCAGGAGCTCCAAGGGATGTGCAGGTAAGAAGCAGGTCAGTGTGTGTGTGTGTGTGTGTGACTGCCTGTGAGTGTGTGACTGTCTGCCTGTGTGTGACTGTCTGCCTGTGTGTGTGTGTAACTGTCTGCCTGTGTGTGGCTGTCTGTCTGTGTGTGTGTGGCTTTCTGTGTGTGTGTGGCTTTCTGTGTGTGTGAGGCTGTCTGTGTGTGACTGTCTGCCTCTGTGTGTGGATATCTGCCTCTGTGTGTGTGACTGTCTGCCTCTGTGTGTGTGGATGTCTTTGTGTGTGTGCATCTGCAAGTGAGTGAGTGAGCTTCTGTGTATCTGTGTGTGTGCACCTGCTAGTTTGTGTTTGTGTGTGTGCCTGTTAGTGAGCTTGTATGTGTGTTAGTGAGCTTGTCTGTAGGGAGCTGGGTGTGTCTGAGCCTGTCTGTGGTGAGCATGTGTGTGCAGTGAGCTTGTCTGTAGTAAGCATGTGTGTGATCGTGAGCTTGTCTGTAGTGACTATATGTGTGTCAGTGAGCTTGTCTGTAGTGAGCATCTGCGAGTGAGTGAGTGAGCTTCTGTGTATCTGTGTGTGTGCACCTGCTAGTTTGTGTTTGTGTGTGTGCCTGTTAGTGAGCTTGTATGTGTGTTAGTGAGCTTGTCTGTAGGGAGCTGGGTGTGTCTGAGCCTGTCTGTGGTGAGCATGTGTGTGCAGTGAGCTTGTCTGTAGTAAGCATGTGTGTGATCGTGAGCTTGTCTGTAGTGACTATATGTGTGTAATCGAGCTTGTCTGTAATGAATCTGTGTGTTAGTGAGCTCTTCTGTAGGGAGCATGTGTGTGTCAATGGGTTTGTCTGTAGTGAGCGTGTGTGTGACAGTGAGCTTGTCTGTAGTAAGCTTGTGTGTGTATCAGAGTTTGTCTGTACTAAATTTGTGTGTGTACCAGTAACCTTGTCTGTGTGTGTCATTGAGATTGCCTGTCAATGAGCCTATTTGTGTGCATCAGTAAGATTGACTGTGTCTGCATGTGAGAATGCTTTACTGTACAGTTTAAATACCCTGAAAGGACTAATATTTTGAATTAGAAAAATAAATATACCAATAATATACACACACATACACACACACATCTATATATCACACACTACATAGCAAATTACTTATGGGGCTGGCATAGATTTTTTTTTCCAGGGCTGCTTTGTATCCCCAGTCCAGCCCTGTTTGGTACCTTTGTGTGGGATTGCCATAGTTAAGAATGCACAATTAGGGAGCTATTGACTAAACAGCTCCCACATTTGGTAGCAGTACCCTTAAATACCATCACTGCACATGCACATGCGCGTCAAATGACCTCTCTAAGCCAATCAAATGCTGCTCTATGAGTAGCATTTGATTGAGAACAGAGTTTGACTCAGTTTTAATAGGCAAGCGCATCTAGTGGCTGTCAGGAAGGCAGCCACTAGAGCAGAGGTAGGCAATCTTCGACATTCCAGATGTCGTGGACTACATCTCCCATAATGCATTATGGTCGTCAGGGCTGTCTTTAAGGAGGGGCAAAAGGGGCAGCTGCCCCGGGCCCAGTTTCTCCTGGGGGCCCTAAGGCAGCTGCCCCATGGGCCCCCTGCAGCACCTGAGGTAATCAGGGGCCACAGCCCTTTAATACTGCTGTGGACCGGGCCCTTGTAATATGGGGGTTGGCTGAATACAAACACACAGCTAGCCCCTCACACACTGCCCTGTGATCCCTTTTCTTCTCTGTGGCATGCTGGGAGGCAATGAGGTCAGATCACTTCATCCTCAGTGCCGCTGGGGAGGAGGCACACACCACACGGCGGAGGATGCAAGCATTGTTGGGGAGAGGGACTGAGAAAGCTGATGGCAGACTCCCATCAGCCTGGGCCAACAAGCTCCCACTGGACACCAGGGAAGCCACCTTTCTGTACCCAAAAGGTAAGGAGACAGGAGGGTGGTTAAATATGTTTTGTTTTTTGTTTTGCTAATTTCTGATATCACTTTTATTTAAGTGTGTTGGTGTTTGTAATGTAACACACAGGGAATAAGTACATGTTAAAAATCCTAGAAGAACCTGACAGTTCCCTATTAAATATAAATTTAAAAAGTATTTATTTTAACATATTGCATCAAGTGTTATCAAAGGCTGTATACCATTTTCAAATGTCACTTTTGCCATATTCTGGACCAGGGTATGTAAGAACAGAGTTGAGACATTATATTGGCCAAGGTTGCTGGGAGTTGCTGTCCAAGAACTGCTAGAAGGCAGAGATTAAAATATGTAAATGTACACATATATGTGTGTGTATCTGGCTGTGTTTATGTCCTTGTGTGTATCTGGCTGTGTTTGTGTCAGTGTGTGTATCTGGCTGTGTTTGTGTCAGTGTTTGTATCTGGCTGTGTTTGTCTGTGTGTCAGTGTTTCTGTGTGTATGTATACCTGTGTATGTGTACTTGTGTGTCAGTGTGTATGTGTACATGTGTGTGTGTTTGTGTGTGTGTGTATGTATGTGTCAGTGTGTGTAAGTGTGCATCTGAGTGTGTGGTAATGCATACATCCCAGCATTTTAATGCCAACACAAATACACTACATCTCTAGCACTGTACACATATACACCCCTGCATTTATACCTTTATGTATGTGTGTATCTGAGTGTGTGTGTACATACCTGTGTCAGTGTGTGTGTGTACCTCTGTGTGTGGATGTGCCAGTGTGTGTGTGTATCAAAGTGCTTGTATCTGTGTGTCAAAGGGTGTGTATCTGAGTGTGTGTGTATGTGCCAGTATGTGTCATGGTGTGAGCATGTGTCAGTGTGCCTATGTGTGTATCTGCGTGTTAATGTGTATGTGTATATGTGTTATAGAAATCACACAACATGCAAACAGAGCCCTGCAAACACAAACATTACATACAAACACACCAGTTTGCTGAAACACCAATACTACACACAAATGTACACAACACTACATCCAAACAACCCCCTGCATGCAAATACAAACATTACATACAAACACATTCCTGTATTAAAACGCTAAAATTATATACAAACACCAACTCTACACACAAAAGTACACCTGCATTTAAAAGCCAACACTACAGACAATCACACATTACTGCATTCAAACGCAAACACTACACACAAGTACACCACTGCATTCCAATGGTAACAGTACATACAAATACACCCCTACATGCACACATACACTCTATACAATAACATGCTGACATTCAATTGCACAAACACTGCTCAAAAATACAACCGTGCAAGGATGGTAGATCCCCAGCTGGCATAGCATCGCAGGAGTTGTATGACAGATGAGGATCTATCTTTTCTTTACTCTTGTGCTACAGGGCAGGCCTGAATTATTTTGTTTTTGCACCAAGGCACTCTCTGCATTAGTTTCGCCTCTAGGTTGGGGTGGAGGGAGTGATTGCATGCCCAGGGGGCCCAAGCAGATGCTTGCCCAGGGTCCAATCAATATTAAAGACGGCCCTGATGGTTGTAAGAGCATTATGGGTAATATAGTCCACAACATTTGGAGTGCCATGTTTAACCCTACAATGTAAACATTGCCGTTTCTACAAAACTTGGTTCAAAGGGCCACTGCACCCAGAGAACTTCAATGAGAAGAAGTGGTGTGGGTGCATCAATTGGTCTTTTACTGATAAAAAACAAAAACAAAGAAACAATAAATTAAGTAAACTTAATTCTACTAAATTGAACCTTTAATGCATCCTTGTTTCTGTTGATGATCCCAAAGAGGATATTCTGTCCTCTGCATAATGTTTTATTTAAGTATGTAAGTTATTGCCAAGTTATAAAGAAAAAAAAATAGATTACTTTTTAACTTTAAAAGTCCACTTTCTCCCTGAATCAATAAGCAATTATTAATGTAGGCCATACTTACATTGCAGTCCTCCTTCATAAGAAGAACAT